ACTGGGGGAGGGGGTACTGAGGCAGGAAGATCGCCTGAGTCCATGAGGTTGAGGCTGCAGGGAACTCTTCACTCTAGTCTGGGTGACAGAGTAAGATTCTGTCTCAAAAACAAAACAAAATAACAAAAACAAAAAACAACCCCCCTCCACAAACCTCTTTAAGGCTTGTTAATCTTTCTTTTCAACAAAGACAAAGCAGGCTTTTAAAGAAAAACACTAAATGATAGAACAGGTGGCATAAAGATAGGATGAAAATCCTTACATTGGTATGCAAATATCTGAAAATTGGGAAACAGTGCATTGGTTTACATAAAAACTTGACTTGGCCAGACCGTCTAATATCCCATTAAATCTTTTAAAAGTTAGATTTGTCCTCTAACTTAGCAATTTTAAGAAAAGATACTACACACTATAATGCATTAACCTGTTTTAATTGTACTATTGTTGGATCTTATAAAATTATTTAAAATATTATCATTTAAATTAGCAACAACAGCATTTTAAAATCCTACCAATAAGTAATATGCTGAAATTATTTCTCTTACTATATAGAAAATATTCGTTAAACCACAAAATGTTGTATATTAATACAAATAAGCTAAGGAAAAATCATACCATCTGTTTTTGAATGACTTGAAATATTAAAATCACATCCTTTTCCAACTTCCATTTCAGTTTCTCTTACTTCAGAGTTACTTCCTGCCAAAAGGAAAGCTTTTTAAAATTAAACTGAACCACTCTTAAATAAGAGGTCTAATCATACATAATTTAAGAAGGTGGCAATACATAAGTAAGATTTTAGAACAAATAAAGTACAACATGCTGTGGATGTAGGACCGCTAAAACAAAGAAGAAGAGATAAAAATCTGAGACGAGAAAAAGACTTACTATATCACTGATAAGTTCCATCTTATGTACCAAATATAGATGAGAGATAATGTAGTCTACTAGAGCACTCAATTCACACTAAGAGAATAAGTGGGTGAATGACATTAGAACTTAGAAAAGGATCTGCTCTTTTATGACACTATTTCCAGGGGCCTGCTCCTTTTCACTAGCTGCAATCAAGCTAAAGTGGCACTGGCTCTCCTAAACAAGGGCTTTCTTGCTTCCACTTCAGGAACCTGTAGTCAACAGACGGCAAAAAGGAAACTGGGAAAAACCTCTCAAGAATGGCTGTTACAGGCTTGTATTTACTTTGCCAATTTCCACATAACATGCCTTATACCAAACAACTGAGATACCAAGAATAAAGAGAAGGTGTGATGATGAAGTTACATAGCAGAGTTTAACAAGTCTACTTGTGAATCAAAATGACTAAAGGATATCTAAACTTACTATATATTCCATGTTTTAATCTCAAATCCTTTTTGGAAATGTCAGAGAATAAATAAATGAATAGTATCTTACATGGTGGTCTTAAATCCCAGGTGATTACCTTGAGTCAACTGCTGAAGATTTGGAGCAAGGGAAGGCCTCCATGCTGTGTCACTGGGAACAACAGTACAGTAGTATTGCTGGTAGTGGGAAAGGAAACAAGCTTTTGGTGGTAGTGGGAAAGGAAACAAGCTTTTGGTAACCCTCTTAGATACAGGGTTACAATGCTGATTTCCCTATTTAAATTTATAGAAGAGTACACAGTGCTTTGGGTTTGCTCAGCAGGAATTGCATGTTGACGGATGTAATCAAACTCAAGATCATTGATGTAGAATGAATTAGATCCAAGGTTCATATCTCTTGAAGACCACTACAATTTGTGTAGCGTTGGAATAAATACTTTTATTTTCGATTACAGTATCATGAGAGGTTTTTTTTTTTTTTTTTTTTTAAACAGAGTCTTGCTCTGTCGTCCATGCTGAAGTGTAGTGGCATAATCATGGCACACTGCAGCCTTGAACTCCTGAGCTCAGGCAATTTTCCCACCCCAGTTTCCCAAGATGCTGAGACTATAGGCTGCTATGCCTGGCTAATTTTTTTGTAGAGGTGGTGTCTTGTTATATTTCCCAGGCTTGTCTCAAACTTCCGGGCTTAAGCAGTCCTCCTGCCTCAGCCTCTCAAAGTGCTGGCATTACAAGCATGAGCCACTGCCTGGCCTATATTTTTAAGGCTTTCGTCCTGTGGTCCCATTTGTTGTTCCACTGCAATAGGCCAAAGACTGAGGAGCAGTGAAAAATCCAGTCTGCAAAGAGTAAGACAACAGACACTAGGGCTATGACTTTGCAGAAGCCCAGGAGCCTTTGGCCTGAGTAGCCTGTGTCATGTGCCTTCAAGGACAGGGATCCCTGTAGTTACGCCTATAGTATGATGACTGCTCCTTATCAGGGCTGTTTTAGGAAGGCTTTCTGTGCCCTTTGAAAGAACACTTATTTAGAGTTTGGGATGCTGTCTTTACCTGAATAAGGAATGGAGGTAAAAGGAGCTTCATCCTCGTTTCTCCACCTTTCACTCATCTATCAACACACATCTTGGTTTGTAGTAGCTTTCAGTTCTGTTGCTAACATGGTCCATAGATGGGTTCACCTTTGTGATAATTATCCAAACAGTCCTCCATGCCCACATAAACACTGCTGATAAAGCAGCATGTGGTTTGTAATTTAAGGGACTCTCAGGGCTACCATATTTAATTTTAGGCTTGGGCATTTAGTTTTCAAGTTAATCCTGATATAAAACTGTTGGAACAAGTACTGAGATATGACGTACCTAAAAGCCATGCAGTTGCTATAGTGTTGCTTCAACTTTATTATTCTTCATAAAAGTAACAGTCAAATGACGTTCAAAGAAAAATCAAGCTGTCATACAAGAGTCAGGAATAACATATTAAAGTGTAAGAAGCTCCCCTAGATGATATTAATACACGTAAATGGTTGAGAAGAATCACTGACCTTAGCATTTTCACAATCCTGTCAGTATCATTAATAAACTCAATAATATCTTAAATTAAGACAACTTGAAAAATATATATAACCTTGACCATGAAGAATATCATGAACTGAAGAAATTCTGACATCTGGCACCACTTCTGCCTTAGGATGAGATGACTGTGAAGCACCGGAATCAACATTTGGAGTCACTATAGCATAACGAAGCAGTTCTTCATATTCTTCCTAAAAGAAGCCGATAATCAATAATGTAGCATAACAGTTACAATGTTATAATATATTCAACCGAATTTTTTTTTTAAGAAATGTAATTACCATAATAGAGTCACATGCTGATTATATTACAAAGTTTTAGCACTTATTCCAAGCTTGAGTTCTTTGAGTGCTTCTTGTGTGATTTTTACATTTATTATTAACAGTTTGAAGAGGGCTGTGTGCAGTGGCTCATGCCTGTAAACTCAACACTTTGAGAGGCTGAGGCAGGAGGATGGCTTGAAGCCTTAGCGACAAAGCAAGGCCTCATCTCTATAAAAAAATTAAAAAAAAATTAAAATTAAAAAAAATTGCTAGGTGTGGTATGCCTATAGTTCCAGCTACTCAGGAGGCTGAGGCAGGAGGACTACTTAAGCCTAGGAATTGGAGGCTGCAGTAAGCGATGATCATGCTGCTGCACCCCAGCCTGGGTGACAGAGCAATATCCCACCTCTGGGGAAACAACAACAAAAAAGCCTGAAGAGGTGATAAGATTCTGTGAATCAAAAATTTTCTATCACTTATTTTTTATATGTCAGATCAGTTTAACTGAAGATGAGACATGCTACTAAAAAGATACCATTTCCAGAATTTTAAAAATAATATGTAACCCACACAAAATATAGAAGCAAATTGGATATTTAAGCTTATAAAACTGCAATGGACTTCTATTATCCCCCAATTTCAAATGAACATTTATCAAGACACCTCAATTGCTTTTATTAACTGATGCTATAAGAGGCAAATGTCACATATTTGAATTAATTTACAAAATAAACCTGTACAATTGTAGTTCTGTTTTTATCTGCTTTTAATATTGGAATTTTAAGTAAAATTGTTTAAAAAGAGGTTTATGCTTTTACATATTTGAAAACTGCTAGCTTTTATGGCAATTACATGTACAAGAGTGACCTGGTTTGTGCTTCAACCTTAATTTACTTTTTTTTTTTTTGAGACTGAGTCTTGCTCTGTTTCCCAGGCTGGAGTGTGGTGGCACAATCTCAGCTCACTGCAACCTCTGCTTCCTACGTTCAAACAATTCTCCTGCTTCAGCCCCCTGAGTAGCTGGGATTATAGGTACATGCCACCATGCCTGTTAAGTAGAGACAGGGTTTCACCATGTTGGTAAGGCTGGTCTCGAACTCCTGACCTCTTGACCTGCCCACCCTGGCCTCCCAAAGTGCTGGGATTACAGGTGTGAGCCACCGTGACCGGCCTGATTTACAAATTTAACATACATACTTACACAGTAAACATTAGGTATAGCAAATACCGATATTTATATATTTTAAGGCTAATGACAGAAGAGGAAGAGAGAGATAATCCAAAGAGAAAAGTATTTTAGAAAATTCAACCAGAGGCTGGGCCAGGTGGCTCATGCCTGTAATCCCAGCACTTTGGGAGGCCAAGGTGGGCAGATTGCTTGAGCTCAGGAGTTCAAGACCAGCCTAGGCGACACAGTGAAAGCCCACCTCTACTAAAATACAAAAAAATTAGCCAGGTGTGGTGGCATGTCCCTGTAGTCCCAGCTACTTGGGAGGCTGAGGCAGGAGAATTGCAAGAATCTGGGGGGGCGGAGGTTGCAGTGAGCTGAGACTGCGCCACTGCACTCCAGCCTGGGTGACAGAGCGAGACTCCATCTCAAAAAAAAGAAAAAAAAAAAGAAAAGAAAGAAATTCAGCCAGAATTTCCTGTCACCTTCATGACAATAAACATCTCAGTTTTTAACTTATATTTTCTAGTAGCAAATAAAAATCAGTATTTCACATAGTGGTTTTCACTAACGCAGAAGGGTCTTATTAGGAAACAAATCATTTAGGGTATCACAATACAATGTTTATTTTTTATAAAATTTAAAAAAATTCTTAAAAAATTATGGAACACTTCATGAATCTGCGTGTCCTCCTTGCACAGGGGCCACACTAATCTTCTCTGTGTAGTTCTAATTTCAGTATATGTGCCGCCAAAGTGAGCACCAACACTTAGCTTTTACATTGACAAAAGTTAACTCTGATTATTTAAATAGATTTAAATATTCTTAAGTTAAAAAAAATACACTCCTCAAACCATATTGGTTTTCCAGTTATTAAAATAAAAGGAAATTCCCAAAGAGTTTGACAAATTGGGGCCATACACAAGACATTTACTAGTTCCTATAAACCTGAATGTGTGAGTTGGTCCTAATACACTAATACATAAAATTTCAAGTGCATAGAGACTGTAACGAATCCAGCAGCATCCATTTCTTTTTATTTCTTTAAGTTAATAAAGCCCCAGGGTTTGATTTGGGCAAATGGCTACCCAGCTACATTTCCCAGCCTCCTCTGCAGCTAGGTGTGGCCAAGAGACTGGTCTATGGGATTCAAATGGAAATAATGTGTACCACTTTAGGCGAAGTTCTTAAAAAGTAAGCTACTTCTTTCTAGTCCCCTCTTCCCATGGGCTAGAGGTGGTGCACTGTCAGTGCACCAGCACCTGACAATGCAAACACTGTCAACAGCTCATGGCACAGCAACAAGAGAGAAGGGATTGGGTCCTCAGATGACCTCAGGACTATGTATCAGCTCAGAATTTACAGAGAGAATCAAAATGTAAGGCACCCACTCTAGCCACCCTTACTTGGTTTCTGTTAAAGCACTATTATACGTCCCAAACAGCCAAAGTAAACTTTTGATTTTGGCTAAGAATATAAAAAAGTGTGGCTGTTATGGAGTTTTGGACTCTGAATGTTAGTGTCCCTCCAAAATTCATATGCTGAAGCCCTAATACCCAGTGTGGCTGTATTAGGAGATGAGGCCTCTAGGAAAGTAGATAAGGTTAAATAAGGTTATTGGCTGGGGCCCTGACCTGATAGAATTAATGTACTCATCAGAAGAGACACCAGGAAGCTTGTGCTCTCTCCTCCCACCTATACATACTGTATACTAAGGAAAGGCCATGTGAAGACACACAGCAAGAAGGCAGCTGTCTGCAATCCACAAAGAGAGCCCTCACCAGAAACCAACCCCACTGGACTGTAATGTGGGACTTCTAGCCTCTAGAACTGTGAGAAAATAAATGTCTGCTGTTTAAGTCTATGAATTTATGGTATTTTGTTACGGCAGCGTGAGCAGATTAACATGATGGTATCTTATATTTTGAGGTTCATAAACTTTTTATAGAGTGTCCCCACTGTGGTGGCAGTTCCAACTAGACTTAGCCAAGTTAGCTCTGCTCAGAGTTAGCCTATCACCACCTCAGGCCTGTAGAAACGGAGGAAGAAGTGGAAGTCAGTGGCTTTTACTTATGGCTTCCCTAGTCTAACTTCTGCTCTGGATAAGAGACGGAAAAAAAAGACACAAATGTATATTTCAAATCATATATTTCACACGTATTAACATTTTTCATGTATTTTACCACAATTGCTATGGTTTAAAGGGGAAATAAATAAGTATATGTCAACAGTATTCCATGATCATATATTTCAACTTATTTCAAGAAAAGTATTTTTAAAAAATGTTACTTAAATGACTGTTTTAGAGTTTCATATATGTAGATACAGGCCAAATGAGTTATTTAAAAATAAGAATTTAAAATTAAGAATCAAAATAAATAACACTGCTTTTCTTAATTGCCAAACATAACCTGTGTTAAGATAAAGAATTCTGGAGTGACATTCAAAACTTGTAATTTTGTCCCCCTCTACAACCCCCAAGAGCTGAACTTATAAGACCCTGAAATATTGCTCCACCCATGCCTCAACCATTACAGTCAGGGCAACTTGGCTGACAGGAGCTGCAGTTCGAGGAAATCTTTGGGGTGTAAGCACTTATGGATGCTGCCCATCCCTCAGCATTCACCACCTTCTGGCTTGTGAAGCATTTGCACAACAAAATGTCCCTTAAGAGGAATATTGATTTATGAGGGGCTTTGGTATTAAATATTTGGATTTACATATTTACTACATATGTAAAAATATACATTTTATGTTATTTTTAAGATTATTTTTTGTATTTATATTTTGAAATGTTTTCAGTAGTGAAACCCAAAGTGATGACACTGTATCTACAGGGAATATGGAGAGGCTTTCAACTTCAGTCCAAGAACAAGCAGGATCGTAAGTTGAGGGTTACTAATAGACTCTCAGTTGGGCTTAGGTTATAAGCGGGTAATCAATAACACAAAATGATTTCTGGCAGGTTCTTCTTCCATCTCTCTAAAATTCCACTCTGCAGATTTATTCTTTTGATTTAAAGCTTTGTCTCTTGACAAAATGACAATCTGAGTGCTCACAAGGTGTTTACATTTTAGTACAAATGAGTTAATCAGTTCTGTCTTGAAGTTTTAATCAGACAGCTATGAAGGGTGGAGGGAGTACTGGCACATGAAGAGAGGACTACATGGGAGAGGTACCATTAAAAGGAAAGGCTAGGGTGCAACAGCTATGTCACAACTCCAGACTACTTTTATCCTAGTAAATATTCAGATATTTCCCAATACCTTCCCCATTTCAAGATCCATAATTTCAATTAAAGGAACAAATTTGATTCATAAAATATTTTCCTAAAGCTTTTCTCATGTTATACAGAATCAATAAGAATTTTCTATGCTTAGGCATAAATAGCCTTTCCCCTTGAGTAATATAACTATAAAATTTAAGATATACCATGTCATTATTTTCTCATTTAAAATCTACTCCAGAAATCTAAATCCATATTTTTGATGATGAAATATTTAGAAATAAAAGAAATTTAAAACACTTAATGTAAATACCACACCTTCTATAGTCAACTGACCCATTTCATTTTATCTGTCAATGTCCAGGTCCTGGGCAGCAGATTGTACTGAATGTTGTGGCAACAGAGACTAGACCTCAGCAAGTAGAACACAAGGGAATCCTGAGCTCTAGAACTGGATGGTTTGATACTGTATTAATTTGCATTAGAAGTGAAAGCAGCATTCACGAGAGGTAGCTAAAATGAAAAAAATTTAAAGAAAAAAATGTTTCTTGAACATTTCAGTTTCGCCTCTTAACTGTGTTGGTCAAAGCCTTTGTACAGAATGTTTGAAGAGTTCATCAATATTTTCTGACAAGTTAAAACAATGTAAAGTACCTCCTAATATTGGTACAGTAATTCCTAAAGTTATTATTACAAATTGAAAAACTCCTTTATAAATGGAATAAAAAAATAAATAAAAATTCCTAGCTTCCCCTTACATTTGTTTAAAATAAAAAAAGTCATGACAAATTTAGAAATTTTTCCCTACCTGAAGATCCGAAGAGACAACACTGCCTTGATGAGAGTCATTTTGTACAACCGGAAGTGAGTATTTCTCCTCATCTGATGACATTCTGCACAAATATTCTAAAACAAAAGAAGCTAACGTTAGCTTTTTTTCTTGACATTTAAACTAAGACAAAATGCTTTCTAGATATATATAAGTGCAACAGTATCCAAATCTGCAAACAATCTTCATGTGATATATTAAAATCATTCATTCAACATACTGAGTATCTATAGGCAAAAATCACTGTGAAAAAAAAAATAAAGACCCAATTCCAATATTGGTGAGTTTATAAGGTAGTCAAGGAGATGAGACAAATACATGAAAGGTTAAGGAAAAACAGAGGGAAAATCCCCAGTGGGGCCTGTTGAGGATAATAGATGGTGATCACTGTCCTTAAGCAATGTGTGACAACCTGGGTGTTGTGTACTTTCCTGTAAGATACTGAATCAAGAGAGAACAAACAATTTGTGCAAATTTCCTTCTAGGGAAACTTACCTTTTGGAAATATTATTTTAAGAAAAGTGAGCTTATACAGAACAGAATCAAATACAAGCATAGAGAATTTGTTAACAGCCCTAAGCAAAATATTAAAAGTACTTTTAGTAACAAGTAACCAAATAATTTAAAAAACAAATAGTGACTATTTGAACTATCTGAATATATAATATGTAAGACATTGGTCAGGAATGTAAAATAAGTCCTCATTCTTAAGAAGTTTACAATCTGTAGAGAGGGCCAGACCTAAACATTATATAAGTTACCAACTGATGACTAAACTGCTGATAGGCCCTAAAATAGCAGAGGTACAGAGTAGAGAGGTAGGAGTAGCTATTTTTCATGGGGTAGGATTGCATGACTGTAAATAAGCAGGAAAGGAGGAATAGAAAGCTTTTAGAGACGATGACCAGGTGTTGAGACCTAAAAGATGAGCAGGTCTCATCCGGAAAGATGGATAAAAGGTATAAACAGAGGTGAAGATATTCTAGGCAGTAGAGTAATGTAAGCAAAGACACAGAGTCATGGACACGTATGTCAGGAATAGCAAGCAGTTTGGTAAGGCTAAAACAATGGGTGCAAAGCAAAGATTGGCTAAAGATGAAACAAAAAGTAAAGAGCAGCCAAATGGAAGGTCAAGATTTGTCATATTAAAAATCTGAGTGTTTATTCTACACAAGTTATTAAAATATTTTAAAAAAGTTACATGATAAGAAAGATCATTCCAGCAGCACTGAGGATTAGTTTGGATATGAAGAAAGAGAGATCAGGCAGGGTGCAGTTGCTCGCACCTGTAATCTTAGCACTTTGGAAGGCTGAGGCGGGTGGCTCACCTGAGGTCAGTAGTTTGAGACCAGCCTGGCCAACATGGCAAAACTCCATCTCTACTAAAATTACAAAAAAATTAGCCAGGCGTGGTGGCAGGCACCTGTAATCCCACCTACTCAGGAAGCTGAGGCAGGAGGATTGCTTGAACTCTGCCGGCAGAGGTTGCAGTGAGCCAAGATCACACCACTGCACTCCAGCCTGGGTGACAGAGCTAGATTCTGTATAAAAAAAAAAAAAAGAGAGAGATATCAATTGAGAGCTGACTGCAATAGTCCAAGAGATAAATGTCCTCTTTGATAGTAATTAAGGAAATAAATGACCTAAGTCTAGAAAGATCAATGGGAAGGGGATGGAGGGTATGACTACAAGACAGCTGTGCTATGGT